CGCAAGCTCAACCTACAGGAGTGAAGGGAGCCTCCATGTTACTGTTGTGCTCACATTTAGGGAAAGTATTTCAGCTGCATTTAGGGATGAAAACATGAACGAATGTCTCCAGCATTTCTTTTGTCTCAAGCCTATTTAAACTCTAGCTATCAGCCAACTAATATCTTGGTTCCAAGTCTTGTGTCACTGATTTTACACTCAACATCAGGCAAAAGAGTCATAGCCACCGACTAGACCAGTGGCAGTGTCTCCAGTACCCCATGTAGTGCTCTTTTTTCTCTTCACTGGATGGGACCAGTGCAGATCCACAGTACATCATCAGTATCCATGAAGCTGCTCCACCAGATGAAAATATGAATCATGTCCTAATTTGTTTACTTTCAAGCCATGAGTAGGCCCTTCTCGGTATACTATAAAAATTAATAAACACTTGCTCTCATTATATGGTTGGCACGTGCATTACTTTTTTTTTTTTAATGCTGTTGGCACGATCTTTAAGAAGAAACTCAAGAGTCAAATAACACATTCAGTTCCTCTTTTCCAACAGTCACCAACTTGTCTGTGTTCTTGAGAGCGTGCACACCTTTATCTTGTGTGCTTTGGTTTGTGACTGGGGACAAGGAGGTTTGTACACACTCACTGTCCTTCACTTCTTTCCCTTCATTACCCACGTGACTACAAGTAACTAAGAAAACTATATTGCATTCACCACTAATTCTAGTCCTCTACACATCAGCCCCTAACCCTACAACCTGTGGATATGTGAACAATGTTCTGTATTTCTCTGTTCTTCTAATCCTCTGAGTCCATGTTCTATTCTTGGAAACACAATCAAAAGGCCATTTCACGCTTTGAGGATACAGGGTCCTCCCAGAATATACTACACTGTTGAAGCAAATATGCAATCACTTCATTAGATTTTAGGTAATAAGCGATAGGACTGACTTCATACCCTCTCTCTTTCTCTCTCTCACTCTGTGTGTGTGTGTGCGCGCGCGCGTGCATGCGCACATGCACACATATGCATGAATGTGCTCAATGACAGAAAGCAGAGAAATATATGTGTGTGAAAATATTTCATACACCCATATATAAGTATATGATAGACATTCTATTGCCTGTTATCTATGGTCCAACATACAAAACATATAGCATGTATAGATAATCTATATATGATATGATATAGTATATGATACATAGACATATACTCTCATATTTTCCTCCTTTACTTATAATTTATTAATCAACCACACAGAGAACCTTCTATGTAAAAGATGCTCCAGTTATCTGAATGGCTCTTTTTGAGCCAGTCATCATGTACTGAATCCTGATCTTCAGTATGGTGATAACATAGGGTGTGCATTGGGAGGCAATGAGGCCCTATGGGATTTGCCATATGAGATAAGCACCTTTATAAGGAAGCCCAAAGGACAATTTAGCCTCTTCCACCCTTTGAAGACACAGGCAGAATTATTATCTATGAAGCATCATCAAACACTGGAAGTACAGGAGATGTGGCCTTGGACTAGAGGTCCCTGGAAGGGTAAGAAGTGATTTTGTATTATGTGTAAAGGACCCAGTGAAAGGCAGCTTGTTGTAACCACCTGAAGAGACTGAAGCAGGAACCATGGCTAGTGGCGCAGAGATTCCAAGGGGCTCTGCCTTGTGCTACTTGCTTCCTATGCAGACATTTGCTGCTTTACATACAACACATCTTGTCAGTGGCCAGTGCAGACAGATGTCTTCCTCACATCACAGCCTACTTTACACACCCCACATCTGGTCAGTGGCCAGTGCGGGCAGATGTCTTCCTCACATCAAAGCCTGCTTTGGAAGTCTCCCATCAATCCTAATTAGATAGTAGTCTAGGTACTCCAAAGACTTTGTGTGTCAGATTCTCAGGGAAGCAAATGAGGGAGTGAGAACTGGAGTGAAGTTGTTAGGTCTCTGGGAGCCTTCAGGGATCAAGGCAGTTCTTTTAGGACCCTGGCTCAGACCTTAATAGAACAATTTACTATGAAAGCTGAGGCTGACAATAAGTTCTCAACCTTCCTGCTAGGTAACATGCCTCCGACTCTCACACTCACTTCTGTCACCATGGTATTGTTCACAATGAAGTCCATACCAGACATGGGCTGATGCCAACACTGGGTCATTGAACCTCCAGATTGGGAGTTAACAAAACATTCTTTCTTTACAAAATTAGTTTGTTTTGGATATTTCATTGTATGAACCAACTCAGACAAATACAACGCACTAATGATAGGAAACTCGAGCAGGTGACATTGGGAACAGAGGAGAAATGCCAAAGAGGCTGGATCCAGTTTTGAGGCTGGGTCACAAAAGGTTCAGTAACTTACTGCCAAGGGTTGACTAGGCCTGGCACTCCTCCTATAGGACTGCAAGACTGTATGATGATTAGGGGTTCAGTATGGGGAGATGGCTCATTTAATAAAGTGACAGCCCATGCAAGCACGCAGACCCATGTAAATGCCAAATATGTGCATTTGAAATGTCTGGTGTTGAAGCAGGAGAGGCTAAGTGGAACTCACTAGTCAGCCAGTCTATCTAATCAACAAGCTTTAGGTTCAGTAAGAGACCCTGTCTCAACAACAGAAAGTTGGAGGAAGATTAAAGGAGACAGTCAATGTCAACCTCTGGCCTCCTTGCACATGTGCACACATATATACAACTCCACATAAACACATACACCCAGTGTAAAATCAAAGAATAGCTAGCTGTGTGTCCATAAAAAAAGCACAACATTCCTTCCATTGATGCAAGTCTAAATAACTCTAAAATACATACTTAAAGACAAGAATAAAATTTACCAAGTTCACCTTTGTCAACTATTATTTGAGAGCATTCATGATTTTCCTTTGCTTTGAAATAACTCTAAATTGTTTGCAATCATGCAACATGGATTTAATTATTCACATGTCCTTTACATTTCTAAATAAAACAAATTTAAAAAAGGAATCAGAGGCCAGAGTTCTGGAAGGACTGGTTTTTCTATAATATACAGCAAGCCCTGACAAGTTCCCCATTATAACGAGGTCAAGGAGAGCATTCCAGGCTGTGCCTTCTCTCTGGGAAGTAGGAAAGAAACCTGGGCAGGTTTGTGTGATGAGAAGCCTGATTGGTTTCCTTCCTGCATAGAAAGGACTTCATGATGAACTAATTTTTCCTTCCTGTCATAGACTACTCCACCTCCAACTCACAGTTCTCAGTCGAGAACTGGGATTACTGCTTAGGAGTCTTCCCTGTAATAGAAATGCCCATTTAGACTGGGTATAACTAGGGAATCCTTTCCAAACTTCTCAGTTAATCAGCATGCCCACAGGATGGCTAGACACAATTATCTCAAAGCTAGAATCCATATTACAGCTTCCTGCTTCCTCCCAACTCCAAAAATTAAGTCCACCATCACTAGGGATCAAGTTTACTATTGCAGTTCATCATTCTCAGCCCCTGGCTACCTCCTCATCTTGCACCTGAACTGTGCAAGGCTGACCTTGTGTTTATGCCTGTGCCTGTGCCCAGTGTGTTGGTAGAGCCCTCCCTACATTTAGCCTGGTCCTTGTTAATCCCCAAAGGAATGTTCTCAGGGGAAAGAGGAAAGGAAAATCACTATGCTTCTTCTAGCATAACACATCAAAGCACCGTGAGTCCCATTTCATCGTCAGGCTGGAAAAGCTGATTATGTGTTTTTATTTTTGTTTTGTCTTTGCACCCTGATGGCTGGAGAGAACTGGATGAGACTTATTGTTCTCAATAGGTCAAAGAGGCTGCTAAAATGTTTACAAGGATGGATGGCAGCAGATGTCCACACGAGAGCCGGAACCTTGACCTTGTCATTGCAGCTTTATTTCTTGGATCTGCATGCTTAGGAGTGACCTAGGGACTGATCAGGGGGACAGCAAGAGTGAGCATCTCTGGAAATCTGATTTTCAGTTTCCACTTTTCTGAATAGTTGGGAAGACAGACATGTATCTAAAAATCCCCACACTCCATCAACAGACTCTTCATTCATCTGGATTATAAACAGAATAATTATTTCCCACACATCAGCTGTGCAGTTAGATAAGTATATTTCAGGCATCTCTTCTATGCAATTATAGTTTTTGTTTTCTTTTAAATGTTATACAATCTTGTTATTACCAACACCCTTCACCCTTTAATTCTTTAAAGAAAACACTTAAAGGGTTCACTGTTAATACAGATTCTTCTTCCATGTTGAGCCCCCTCCCCCCCACACACACACCACAAGTCAAGGACAACTAGGAAAGCAGTTGGAAAAGCTGCAGAAGCTACAAACTAGCCTCTTGCCCTGTTCCCTGGAAATTCTAAGAACCTGTGTTCATGGCAAGGTGCACTTGGCTCTGACAATGTGGGGAGTGAATTGAGCTAACTCCTTTTAAAATTCCACAGAGCTTCCCTGAACCTGAAGGCTCCTGCTGCTGTCCCCTGCACACAACAGTTAGAAAACCACTTAGAAGTTTTTTCTAGTACTGTGGAGTGTCTGCAGGAGAGTACGAGGCTCACAGAACACTGACAGCTCAAGAGGCAGAAAAGAAAGCTGCCTCGGGACAAAGGGTCTACACCCCCACTAAAAACATTTCAACAACAACCCACCAGGTCTTCCAAGAGTCGCATGGAAATTAAAGCTATTTTCAGAGGGAAAGGTCTACTCAGACACAGTATTAGGCAGGGCTGAAATTCCAGGTCACTTGTCAGTTTCCCTCCCTGAGAGACACCATCAAGTGCTCCTTTTAATTATTATTCATTACAAGACATAGTTACCCATTACCCCTGGCGTGAAAGGTGTCATTTAAGAAAAAAAAAAATCAGGCTCTGGTGTGAAGGGCATCCTTCCCTGTCTGGTGGTACCTGACCATGTCCCAGAGCTCGAATGACTGTTCATTCTCAGGCTACCAATAGCCATGGTCATCAACAGCCACTATCCATCTGACCCCAGGTTACAAACAGGTCTGTCTTACCATCTCGATGAGATGCTCCCACCTTGCAGAGTCTAGCTGCCCCAGCTGGTGCTGATCTTCTGCTTCCCACAGCCACTGGAGCCTTCCGAGGCAGGGCAGGTCTCGTGTGGTACAAATGTCTCGCCACTGGTTATATTTCAGTCCCTCAATTGCTGGCCTAGATGCCCTGGCAATCAGCCAGCCCAAGAGCGAAGAGAGAAGGCTGCAGCTTGTACTCTCAGCATTTCCCATGGAATATGGTCTGAGAACCACGGGCCCCTCATTTAGCATTTTAGTTGCCGAGCACTCAATCACATTTCTTTGGCTTTTCCTCTTCAGTTCAGAAACAGCCGTGCAGCTTCCTGGAGTGGAATTACAGCACCGGCTTACACTGACCCAGGAGACTGGAGATGCAGGCACTCAATGTGTAAATGGCTACACGCCACCAACCTGAGCAAAAACAACTGCTTCCCAACCACAGAAAAGGAGAACCTTACCTAGGAGAGGAACTAGGCTGCTGAGAGCTCCGTGGTTACAGCCTCTGGGATTTATGCTAAATAAATAAATAAATAAATAAATAAATAAATCAGACTAATTCATTCTGTGAGGCTGTCAGATCTGGACAGGTGGGAAGAAAAGTTCTCCACGGAGACTGCACATCTTGCAGAATAAACTTGAACTTCAAATTTGGGGCTTTCTTTTCTAAAATGCATTCATCCAGCCTGTGCTTTGGTATCATAGTAAGCTAATGGGTGCTTTCCTTTTCCTATGTTGTCTGTATTTTCTGCCTGTGTGCATCTTCTCAGAAAGGTTGAATCACTATACTAGCACTCAATGGTTACAGCACCTCCTCCAAAGTTCAGCTCCTGAGTAGCACCACACATAAGTAAAAGTCTATGCTGATGGTCAAATCATCATTGTCGCATGCCTTCTGACCCCTTCTTGTAAGTTCTAACAGGCCAGCCAATCATGATCATCACTCCCAGCACAGAATTCATGTCACTCTGTTTACTAGAGGAGTACTCTAGGCCCATGCTGAATTCCTTGCATAATTGCCTTTCCTCTCATTAAAGAGGTAATATCCAGGGTCTGGGGAGATGACTCAGTGGGCAAGGTTCATACTGTACAAGCATAGGCTCCCAAATGCAAATCCAGCATCATCATAAAAAGCCAGGCACAGTACATGTGCCTATAACCCCAGAACTGAGAAATGGAGAGAGATGGATCTATACCTGTGGGAGGCTGCTCAGCCAGTCTAGCCAAGAAGGTGAAGTCTTCAATGAGAGATGTGCTTCAAGAAACTAGGGTGGAGAAATCGTTAAGGAAGATATTCCTATGTCAAAGTCTGGCTTCTACATGCATGGATGAGCCCACCTATACCCACACAGACATCACACCTCTTCCACACAGGTGCATAGAGGTAATAAACACACTTCTAGTTAGAGCTAGAAAGACGAGGGATAAATTCTGGCACAGTTAAATGCTTGTCTCAGAACTGATTAAGCCAATGGTTGAAATTCATGTCAGTGGTCGAGGAATCTAAACTTGTAGAAGAGTCTGTGGCATTTATCAGCCTAGATGGCATCTAGAAATAGCTGACTGAACACTCTGGAACAACCATTCACATGTCTTCTCCTTGTGGGCAGCAGTCATTCAGAACAGAGAAGTTTTGGGGGAGGGCAAATATGGTACCCAGAGGAGATGGTATCTGGATAAGACATAGCTTGCTGCTTCTATTCTAGACACATCCTGGATACTTATAACACCTTCAAAGTGTCACTCTGAAGTTCTAAAAATCAGATACTTCCTCCCAAGATGGGATGATTCATGTTACCTACTTCCAGCTATTACTTAATCCCCTCCTTGAGGACACATGGATGCACAGCATAACTTATCTGCCCTTTCCCGCAAACCCTTGTCCTTGCAAACAATGGAAGTCCCCAACACACCATTAGGGAAACACCATCTTTTCTTCTATTCAAGTGGCAGCAATAATTTTTCTGTCTTCTGGAAGACGCCTCTGGTGGCTTCAGCCATGACAAACTCTCCTGCTCTTAAGAGAGGCACAAATCTCCCAATTATGCATTTAATCACACATTGTTTTTGTTGTGCTGGAGGGGACCCGAGTGCTCAGGAAACTCTGTCCTCCACCCTGGACTCTGCTTAAAATTGTCAAGTTTAATCCTTACTGGTGACTAACACAATACCAAGATTATTGTCCGTGCTGTTTTTATCCCACACAAAGGCACTCTTGATGCTGCTTCTCCTACCACGCCCTTATAGATACCTTATATTTAGTTGCAAAGAACTCTTCAAACCCCTTGCTACCTGGCTTTGCACACAGTGTACTCTCCGTGTCCCCGCAGACATCCCTGCTCAGTGTCTGCCATTTCTGCAATCTCCTATCCTCTTCCCCAGGGACCAAATGACAGACTACAGGCAGAGAGTGCATTAAACCTCAGTATGTACTGTCCCTATGACTTTGTCATCACCCCTCACAAACAGGAGTAGATTTAGGATCTGTGCTGTCTGCATGCATGCCTGAGTAATGTTCATATAGTGTAGTGGCATTTTTCTAAGAAAGAGGCTTAGAGATGATGGAAAAATATTTCCATGTAATCATTTGCCTTTTAAGGGAAATAGGATTCTACTGATTAAAAAAAATGATGAACACTTGTATTCTTTGAAATTGCTAGACTTCACCTGATTTGGTTAGACCACATTGAGTCACTAAATCACATTGCATTGTCCAAGCCCCAGACATCAACAATAGATGAATTTAAATTTTTGCAGAGAGAAGTAGAAAAAACTTGCAGAATTTCCTATAAATCAGAAGTTTGTATATTATCATTAAAATGGATGCAGATCGCCAATAGCCCAATGTTTTCCTAGCAACCCTGGAACTACATACAAATCTTAACAGATGGAACATCCACTTGGAATAATGGAATGCCTCAGGTCAGCAGAGTAGGAAACCTAGACGCTGTGGTCTGACTCTTGCCTTTCTCCTTAACACTTACAGCTGAAGCCTGATCCTCTATTTTGATAGTATTCAAAGGAGGAGGTGGGACTTTGGGAGGTGACAAGGTCATATGCCTTTATAAAAGAGATAAGGGAGTCTGCTTGCCTCTCTTGCCATGAGCACACATGCTTCCTAGATGGTGAGAAGGTACCATGTCAGCAGTAGATACCAAGTCTTCCCTCACCAGAAGTCTAAGCTGCCAAGGCCTTCCTTCATATTGTATTTCTCGGCTTACAATACTGTGAGCCACAAACTCCCATTGCTTGTAAGGCACCTAATAGATGACACTTGGCATCTGAACAAAGACAAAGTATATATTAGTAACACCTATTTAAGTTAGTGTTTTTTTATAGTCATTTTACCTTTTTAATGAAATCTTTATTGCACCTTTAAAAGGTATGTAAAATTATTTGAGAAGCCTAACAAGAAAATTATTACCTCTCTCCATGGAGTACTCATCATTCACCAGTTCAATATTTTAGAGCTTCGGCTGGTCTTACATTGATTGAAAATTTACTACATATTGTAACAGTTAGTCACAAGATTGGACCCTTCTACAATTAATAATGACACCCACTCAATCCAGGGCTTTCCTGAAGGCAGGAATGTAGAAAAAGTGAAGAAAGGAAGGCTTAAAGTTTTTCACAAGCAACATCTTAGAATCCATTTGCTTTGCTTCCCAGACAAAGACAGAGAGAGCCTGGACTGTTTCCCTTTCCATGTTTCACTTGTATACAGTTTCAGTCTCTAATCCCAGGCTTCTGACTTGCTCCCATGCTGGTCTGTGGCATTTGGTAAGTTCAGACTCATGAATTTCCTCCCAGCCCCATCAATACAAACACCCCAAGCTGTCATGCTGGGGAGCCTTCGTTGACCAGTGACTTACAGAGCCTACCATACAGGCATGATGGTGCCTTCAAATGGAATCTCAAATCACCAGTGTCTAAGAATCATGGAGCACTGGGGGGTGAAGGTGCACTTCAGCTTTTAGTATTCTTTCAAAAATTTCCCTTTTAATGGACCTAATACTGGCAGAGTCAAAACAGGTCAGAGACGGGAGAAGAAGGAGGAAGAAGAAGAGGAAAAAGAAGAAGAAGAAGAAGAAGAAGAAGAAGAGGAGGAGGAGGAGGAGGAGGAAACAAAAGGAGGAGAAGGAGGAGGAGGAAACAGAAGAAGTAGGAGAAGGAGGAAGAGGAGGAGAAGGAGAAGGAGAAGGAGAAGGAGAAGGAGAAGGAGAAGGAGAAGGAGAAGGAGAAGAAGAAGAAGAAGAAGAAGAAGAAGAAGAAGAAGAAGAAGAAGAAGAAGAAGAAGAAGAAGAAGAAGAAGAAGAAGAAGAACTACCTTCAAGGTTGCCAGATATCCCTATATAGGAAAATGATAGATGTGGGAAACACATTTGAGTATTTCAGGAAAATATTTACATTGACATTGACCAACTTGTTACTTCTGAGACACGAAATTTAAACAAGATACCTTCTAATCTGACCACAATAGGGAAGAAGTCAAGAAAACCAAATAAACTGTGGGGTGACCATGGCAAGGGAGTTGCAGTCATGTATCACTCATGTATCACAGTGCTTTGGAGGACTGAGTGACCCAGGAAACAAGGAGTCTACATTCAGGGGGAAATGTGAATCACACATAGATGGTCCCTACAGACCAACCCAATCCCAGTGGCCACTTTCCAGTTCCACCCAAACCCAATCTATCTCCTTCTGGTCAGATATGCCGTGTACCTTGTCCTTTCCACCACAAGAGGGAGCTATAATGTATAAGGGTAGCACACCAATAACAGAATGGGTTTTACTACCAGCAGTAACCCTGCATGCTTATCTACAACTATAACCAATAAATAAACAAATAAATAAAAAATAAAAATAAAATAAAATAAAAACCCAGTACATCTGTTTTTCACACTTGTAATCGAGGAGTAGGAGTAGTAGAATCAAGAGTTCAACATCAACTTTGACTACATAGTGAGTCTGAGGCTAGCCTGAGCTCTTCGAGGCCTTATCTCAGACAAAACAAAACAAAGCTTCAGCTGTCCTCCAACTGATACGTGCATTGTGCAAAATAATTTTAAAAAATGTGCTTTTATCTCTCTTCTGACTACTTCAGTACCAAAATACATAAATCACTTGGAAGATTTTATTGAAATGATAATCCAGATATACTTTATGCTTGACTTTTTAAACTAATGACTGCAATTGGATGGAACTCATTGGACTGACTTTTTACATGGATTAAAAGCAGTCTGTAATTTATCTTCCACTTGCTAATTCTTTAGACATAAATGATGAATCCAAGCACACAAAGTCTTCCAGGACACACTATGAGGACATTCAGTAATGGTGAGTAAGCAGTTTAATGAAGTGAAATCTGCTTATTAACCTTTGATCAAAGTCACATCGGTACCTGTCCCTTGCTCCAGCTCTTCAGAGTGG